TAATATATTTTTAAAATACAGTAGTTACGTGGGTATGATAATGTCAAATTCATTAAATTTCATTAGTTCCAGTGTACCTTCTTAATTCTGCAAGGATGTGTTCATATCAAGTCAAGGCTGGTTGCAATGTAGCGTGTACTTAGTAAAAACCCCTTAACAAACCTGAAGAAATGTTCTGCCATGCACTGGAACCAGCTTTAACAGCGACATTTTTCAAATTCAGTGGTTATTCCATTTTCTGGGGTTTTCCAGAAGAGGTGCTTTGCAGGCAGCAGGCAGCAGTTCAGGACAGGCAGCAGTTTAGGGACTTTGTAACTGGATGTTGTGGGAGAGGCGCCCCCTTGTGGGCAAGAGAAAATACCCCGGCCGCATAAATTAATTCAAAAGCAATTTGCATTGGATAGCAGTGGCGGTCTAATAAATGAAGGATTTAACAGCTGCGTTCCACTGGAGATGTGAACCCACAAACTTCTAAATAAAAATCAAGAGCCACTCCCCTCCACACCACACAATCCACCTACAATGTGGACTCTAACGAAAAATGGTGAAGAAGCCACAAAACTCCCAATAGCACATAAAAAATGTATTGGTGATTTCAGTGTTCAGAATAGATCCTAACAGCCAGGAACCCTTCAGTGGGTTAGAGACCTGATGTGGTTTCTCACACTAGAAATAGGACCATTTTCTAAAGCCTAGCAGCCCTAACTGACCAGCACCCAGATGGGCCATAGATTCAACATAATCATTGCCTTGGAGACGCAGTAGCTAGCCGTACTGATGTGTTTAAAATAGAGTGTGACTCTTTCAGCTGACGGCATCACTCAGGCACAGTGCTGAATGCAGTGGGTCCCCCCTATAAGCAGGGCACTTCGGGATCCAGGGTGAAAATCTAAGAATTATTGATTATCGTACTGACCATCTCTCTTTCCATGTCTGTGCAGTGCTATCGTCCTGTTGGGCTTGTAAATATGCACAGTCAGAGGACCTTAAAAAACCCAAACAGGCTGCAGAGAAATTTGTCCGGACGGGCTGGAGCAAGTCAGCAGGTCGGGGGGGTCCCAAGAGCCCGAGCACATTGGCCCCCGTAAGCGTTATTCTTGCTCGCAAGAAGAGAAAAAAGAGCAACGGCAGATTCTGTCATTCAAAGCCAAGCCAGCAGAAAGCCCTCTGCTCCTGGCGCTGGTGTCCAAGACTTTCCCTTGTTAAAGATTATCGGTCTTTCTGAATGAATCTGGGATTAGGGTAAAATAGAGTATTCGGAGCGGCGCCGGAGAAAGGGAAGGAGACGAAGCAGTGGAGGGGGTGGGTCAGAGGCTGAGGGGGTTAGCTTTGCAATATGGGAAGGAGATTAAAAGAAGGCTGGGGAATTGTACCCCCAGTGTTTCTAATGTGTTTTAATAACCCTGCCTAATTACTTCGATATCAGATGGGTTCGGAGGGAGGACAGGCCCCCAGCTTGCTGAATGTTAATTGGAGAACAGGTGTTGAAGCTTCTCAAAATGAGGCTTCTGATTACTACAGCCAGGGAAACAAATGGCCTCAGCAGCTCGGCTTCAATAACATGAATAATTTAGGCTGCAAGGAGCGATGAGGGAAAGGTCAAGCTAGGGGTCATACACACAGATACACACACGCACACCCAAAACCATACACACCCGCCCCCCATCTCCTCTCCTGCACACACACACACACACACACACACACACACACACACACACACACACACACGCAGTCCTACTAACTCCCACCCCCCGGCCCCCATCCTCGGCCCTGCAAAACAGAGAGGAAGAGCCCTCAAGGCACAAACACCAGCAAAAATACTGTCAGTCCAGCAAGGCCAATTCAAGCAACAGCTCATCCCTTTTGCAGAAACACAAAACCACATGCGAGCAGAAGTCAGCGACGAGTTCTGACTTTCACTCACACACACACACACGCACGCACGCACGCACGCACACACACAAGGAGAGCGAAAAGGTACTAGAACAAGGCCCGGACAAAACGGACATGTGTGTCCTGACCGGAATCAGCAGCCTGCTCAGCGCTTAATCACTTCAAATCTTTGCAAACGCGTCGAATTAAATAAAGCATTAACAGCCGCACAGCGCAGGCCACTGTTTCCAGGTGAGAACCATTAGGTGAAACCTTTCAACCTTGCCAAAATTACAGCATCCACAAGGAGTGGAATCTACACATTTTCCAGCCGTTTTCCTCTCCAGTTTGAGGACACTGTCCAAGCCCTCAGATCTATCTCTAAGCAGCAATATGCACAAAACAGTTCATCTACAATACATAGAGAAGCCTATTAGCCACCCAAGAAAAAGACATACTTCAATTTAAAATGTAAAGATATATAAAACTATAAAACCCCCAGGTTACTTATAAATGTTTTTTTCTTTGGGTTTTTGGGGAGGGGGGAGGGAAAGGGGGGTTATTGGGAAAGTTATTCCAAAAATGAGAAAAACATCTGTGCAAAGGAATTCTGGGAAACTCAAAAGACAACAGCCTTTTCTTTTTTTTTCATCTTTTTTTTCCGTTAAAAGAAAACTATCTTGAGCGATCCTTAGAGACGTACTGTCAACAAAGCAGCCAGCTCGAACAGAGAAGGGAGAGATGGAGGGAAAGAGAGAGAGACGGTCTTCGAGAGAGGGAAATGCAATTGTCATGACAACATCATATCAAACGAGACATGTTTTTCTTGTCAACTGTACTGTCAGTGGTGTGCTTAACTTCAGTTAACACAAAACTTGGGAGCCTTCGAAGAGTTTTTTTTTCTCTCCAAAGAGCTAAACAAATTTTCTTTCATTGAATACCACACCTATCACAGGAAATACAAAATTCAAACAGTAGCTGAAAAGAAAGTGAGGTAAAATGATAAAACGATCGATGTCTCATATCAGTCTGATACAGGAGACAGAACTCTTCACACAGCTCCAGGAAAATGTAACAAGTCGTTAAATGTAAGTAAGAAATTTGGAAAGTAAATAATGTAAAAGTTGTATTTTTTCTCTGAAATTGATTTAATGAATAAAACAATGTACTTGGGCTGTATATTTACAAAAAAAAAACTCTGTCACACTGGTTTCAATCAGGTTTTTTTCTGCTTCAATGATATTCGGGCATAAGAAGTGTCCCGTGAAGAACATAATTCAGATTCAATTGCTTGAGAAGAGCACGCAAACTGTCATCAGCGCGTGCCGACCAAGAACAATTTGCCCTGTCGAGGTCTTCGGTGTGTAAAATCTTATTACCACAACAGGGTAACTAGATGCATGAAAAGGCTCTGCAGTTTTGTGGGTAGTTTTGCAGATTTCCAGACAGCATGCACAACGAGGCCAAGTGGGGTGTCCTTATGAATACATGTGTGGAGCTTTGATAAATACGCCTGTAGGTGTCAGGACCCTCTCTTCTGTTTTACACAGCCGGCTGGCTCCTGACTATGTATAGCTGCAGGCCATCCCCCCCACACACCCACACGCACACGCACACACACACACACTCCCCCGCCCTGATAACCCACCCCAGTCCCCAGGCCCACTGCCTTTATGGCCAATAAACCGGCCAGTGATTTGCAGGCCCTTATTACACAGCCAGCCAGCCACACTCCAGCTCTCCCACCCACCCACTTCCACAGCACATTACAGAGGCACCGCTAAAGGCACAATAAATTAATGTGGGACCGAGTTCATTCCCAGCTCTATTAGTGCGCTGCTGCCACTTACCATCAGCGTTGACCCACGCTGGGGGAAAGTGTATTTTAAATACCCTCTTCTTCTTCCTAAGAGCCAAGGTGCAGTGGTACAAGACACCTCTAAGAAGGTAGTCTGGTCAGAGTCTGATCCGCAGAGCGCTCCCAGTAGACGAGCTGCCAGAAGCTAATACCCAAGCCATGTTCCCTCTTCCAACAGGTCCCTTTTCCTAAGCTTGTGTCTTGCTCGGAGATTTTATTTAAGCCTTTGTTAATTAGCGGATTATGTCTGATTCTTGGGTAGTGCTTGGAGTGGAATAAAGAACTTCTTTTGGGGCTGGGAGCAGTTGCTGTTTTTTCAACGTTTGCGATAAAAAAAGGCCAGAACGCAGTAGTCGTGTGTCTGTGGAAAGCAAAAGGAGCTTCCACATAAAAACAGTGTCAGCCTAATGCTGTTTATGCTTCCCGTTTGTCTTTTGTTAAGACTAAAGAAAACAGCGAAGCTGGGAAACGACAAAAGTTTTGCCTTCGACCTTCCCAGTGTCACAAGGAAGACTGAAGCTGAAACGTTTTTTGTCATAATCCGTTTCACTCAGGTTCTTGTTGCTATACATGGTGGGATTTGCTTTGCGTTCGGAAGATAGGTTCGATCAAATTACACTAGCCCTGAAACAAAAGTCAAAATAGCCTTGCAGTTCGGGTCTCTAGCTTGTGGTAACACCGTCAACAGAATTAAATTCTGAACAGAATTCTGGTCAGAGGCTCTTTACAAATCGTGCAACAGGATGTTACCATTGTCTGTCCCTGGCAGATGACAAGGACACCCGTGTCCCTCAGCAAACAACCCCTTCTCCAATGTGTTGTGTAGGTTGTGAAACACTGCACCGTGGGAAAGAATTAGTTGTGTGAATAAAAACCACACAGTCATCTTCCCAGATGACAATACGGGATGGGTCAGGGAAGCCCAGTTTTGCACAGTAAGAAGAAAATAAACATTTAAGCCATTACACTGGAAAAACTCACTAGAGCTGAAATGAGATGCTAAATACACATTTTTGTTTCTGCAGTGCTGAAATTGCGTAGAAGTTTGAAACTGGTCTAAAGAGGTTTTGATTTTTAAAAGTCCATATCTACAGACACAGCATCTGTGAGACGGCTCTCGGAAGCTGCCAACGAAGCTGACAAGCTACAGTAGGAAAAGACAGGAAGAAGGACCCCCGATGTGGCCTTTTCCCAAAGTGACCCGCAACAGACACGCTGTCAAGGGGACGCGGCGTTCCCCGAAAAAGAGGGGGACCCCAGTTTCTCCTACCTGTCAATGATCACGGGGTCAGAGGGCGTCTCGTTGCGATTTCCACAGCTCTTCTTTTCACAGCAGCGGCTGCAGACACAACACAGGCACAGCTCGTCAGATCAGGACCAGAGCACCCCCACGTTCCACAGCCATCTCTGTCAGTAGGTACCCCGAGATCAAGACCAAGCACCCCCACGCACCCCAAACACCCACGTTCCACGGCCATCTCTGTCAGTGGGTACCCCGAGATCAAGACCAAGCACCCCCACGCACCCCACACACCCACATTCCACAGCCACCTCTGTCAGTAGGTACCCCGAGATCAAGACCAAGCACCCCTACGCACCCCACACACCCACGTTCCAAAGCCACCTCTGTCAGTAGGTACCCTGAGATCAAGACCAAGCACCCCAGGCACCCATTTTCCAAAGCCGTCTCTGTCAGCCGGCACCTCCAGATTAGACCAGAGAGCCCCCACGCCCCAGACACCACTTTCTAACTCAGCAGACACCTCCAGATTAAAATGAAGTATCCCCATGCACCCCTCACCCACGTTCTAACAGCATCTCTGTCAGTAGTCACCCCCAGAGTAGACCGCCGTGAAAGCATATCGAAGCCTGAAACAGCGATCATAGTAACATGAACCACCCACAGGAGTGGCACTGCTCAGTCCCAGACCTCCTTTCTGCAACAGGCTCAGGACCTGTCTGTTCTAAACCTCTCAGATACACCCTTCTGTAGCTCCTACACTGTATTGTGCTTTGTTTTTAATTGTCAAGCTGATGATGAAGTTTCTAAATTGCACTTAATCTCTGTAAATGTACCAGATAGGTGCTTACTTTAATATCCCTTTGAGTATTTTAGATTTCCATGGTGTTTGAGTCTCACACCTTTTCCTGTGCTAGCAATGTTGTCATTTTACTCATTTAATCTGCTTTTTCGGCATGTCAACTTTGCAGGCATGGATAAGGATAAGGGCATATGCTAAGCAGGTAACAGCAATAAAAATGGATCCTATCCCTACAAGCCGTGATCCAGCCACACTTTCGTCAGTTCCTTTAACGAAAGCCAAGCTCTCTTTCTTTTAAATATGTGAAGCAGAGGCGACGCACTCATACAGAAAAGAGCGTGACTCCCCAAGAACGAAACAAAAGCAACAGAAAGTAATCTGGCACCCCAGCAATCTGTCACTGATTTTGAAATCAAATACAGCCCACCCCCCCTCCCCCCCTGCTGCAGCCGCACCCTCCTCCTCTAAAACACACATAGCCCCCCAACACACCCACTGCACACACAAACACACACGTACATACACACACAGGTCCCCTCCCCGGCCAGCTTGGCTTTGTGTCAGTCGAGAGAGACACCTCCTCATTGCTGCATAACAAAAGTACCTCAATCCACGCCATCTGCCACCTACAACCCCCTCCCACCCAGCCTCCCCGACTGACAGCCCAGCTTGCCTGGCCCGATACTCCCACCCTCCCAGCCCGGTGGCTCAGTTCCCAGCTGTGAGGCTTGCCCTCTCCCTCTGCAGGCCGTTATTAGCCAGCTGTGAGTCAGCACGGGCATCTGCTGGGAGCACAATGGCTTCTAACCCCGAGTAGCCGACCGAGACACTGTGTCCCAGCATGGCCACTGACAGCAGCCCCTTTATTCCAGCACGGCTTCATTATCAGAGAGCCGACTATAAATAAGACATGAGCTTTATTTTCTTCTTGGCCCTCTTCCCCTGTTTTTCAGCGTAACGTAGTAGGAACAGGGAGTGCGAGTGCTTGGTGGCTTAGAGTTAAAAAGTGTTTTTTTTTTTCTTGTGATTTATGGGAATTTATTTTGAGGGACTTCTTTCATTTGGAATTGCAGTTCTGAGTTTGCATATTCTTTCCTCGTTCTTTTTTAAACGCCCGCTTAACCTTTATTGTCAAGGTTAAGACATTCTCCTTATTTTTGGGAAAAACATGAGCCCCTACCGGCTGTTTGTTCCGGGCTCTTTGAACACTGTAACACTGAGCAAGCTTTCAGAATGCCAGATCTTCTGAATTCTTGGAAGGAAGCCCACAAAATGACAGGCTGAAGAAAGTTTTACACCTCGTGTTCAGGCATTGTTACACCCTAGCCTTGTACAGTACATAGGGAAGGTTTGAATAGACCTAATAAAATATAATCAGAAGTACAGGAAGAAGCCTACAGTTTACAGCAGGAGAAACCAGATATGAACTCACAGTTGGTGTGAGTCTCAAAAATTGAGTTCAAGTCTGGATCAGTCCTTGACTTTGCGTAAGAGTTCAAGGCTACACAAAATACATATAGCAGTATACTGACATCGTAAAACAAGGGAAATCTGAAGTTGGACATGACATTATTTAAAAGAAATGCCCAGCTTGCGCATCTCTTCAAGACATTGGCATGAACAATGATCAAGAAATCCACACCAGTCCACTGTACAGTTTCTAAATAACAGAAACATTCTGTGTTTCCCATCAACATGAAAATAAGACAGTTCAGTAGTCTGGACAAACCCTGCCCATGCTGGGAGAAGAGAGGGTGACTTCCCTCTCTGAGGATCCCATCTGGAATCATGAACCCCCTGACCCCTTCTATGCAGGATGAACCAGGGAGCTGCTCCATGGGCGCAGATGGGGAGGAGGGAGGTGTCCGAAAACTAAACCTGCGCAAGTGAGTCAGCAAGCGACGCGATATTTAAGCAGAAGTGGGTGAGAATAGGGTGTGTAACAGACTTCTGTTAAAAACTACCTTCATCCTCAATCTCCTTTAGAATTGCCAACAGAGGACCAAAACTAGTATGTTCCTGGGCTATAAAAGGAGATTCTTGTGTGTAGACAAGAATTCTCCATTTTAAATTCTATCACATTTCAATAAGGGGGTCTGGCCATGACACCAGGGTTAATGGCCCTGCTACTGGAACTCCAACTCCTCATCTGCCAATAGGATGGGGATGGCAAGATGGGGATTATTTGCTCCCACCAATTTTTAGTTTAGCTCTTAGGCTGAGGTGGCGTCAATGAGAAGATGCAGATAAAGAGGCTGGGAGTGGAGATATCGTACCTGCACATAACCTCGTGGGTGAGCAGGACTCTGCACATCTCTGGGTTTTTGTTCTGTCCCTCGTACGCAATCGGCTAAAGGAACAAAACACAGATATGTTAGGATCTTTTGTCATTTCTATCTATCAGAATTATTAACAGCATTAACTGGGATATTTTAGGCCTTCAGTACAAAGAGCTTTTTGTATACGTTCACTACAGTGTACCATGGTAAAAGCAGAGTGCAGATAAATGGACCAACGTTATATCATCGTAAAAGCATGGTATAAGAGAAAAAGATATGGTAATGTACGGTAAGAAAAAGGAATAGCTGCAGAAAAAGAATATAGCAAATTTGCCCAAGGGATCAACTGCAGCTTTTAATATAAATTTCCCACCTTGTGGTACGGAAATTGATTAGCTATTAAAAATGGAAATACATAGCCCTCTTTTTAAGCATTTATTGTTGATGCTGATTAAATGGATCATGAATTAACTAACGTAATATCCCATTTGATCTATTTTTCTTCACGGATAGCTTGCACTGGCCAGCTCAGTCTACACAAATATCAATTTACTTAAGATAAGCAGCTTTTTTTCAGCCCTACCATCTTTTCCATGAGCTCCTTTTTTTTTCAAACAAGACAAAGTGGGGCACTTTGAAGGGTGTAAGTCAAATGATTGAATTAACGACGTATACACCGGAAAACCAGTGTTCGTTGATCTAAACTCCTTTTGTGCTTATATTTAAAAAAAGAAACCAGGGCATTCATTCGAGCAAAATAAATAATTACTTAGGAAATGTACAGTCTTTCTTCCTTTATTTTTGTTTTTTTATCTTGTTTTTCTAATTCCCACAAGAGGAACATCTTTCAAAACGAAGTTACGTCAAGCCTGGTTTCGAATGCAAAGCCTAGAAATCTCATCATGTCTGTGTGGAGGACAGCTGTTAAACAGCCAGGGGAACCTGCATCATCTCCAGTGCAACCCAGAAGAACATTGATAGGAAGATGTATTATTTCTAAGAGGCTTTCAAAAATCGCAGATGGCTGATTTGATGATGAGATCTCTTGGGTCACTATGCTGCTGACGGGGGAGGTGACCTGAATAGTTTTTGCTCATCGCTAACCTAGTCTTCGATCAGCACCCACATCCATGTACAAACGTGGGCTCATCTGGGTGTGCTGTGGCAAAATGTCTGGGACCCAGTGAAAGCCTCAGCAGGCACAGTTCATTCAGTACAGAGCTCCTTCCCTTTTCTATGTCAATGTCTTTATTCAGGGTTTGCACTCTGACGTGTACTTTGCTTTTTCCTAAGCCTCCTTACTATGAGACACCTAAAGGTCTTCAGAAAAAATAATGTTATGGACATCAATGATCTTGTGTTGCATCCCAAGGTCCTTTCCAGGCAGCTCCATTCAGGACTGAGTCCGTCCGCTCACACAAAGCTTTCTGGGAGTGTGGAACAAACCAGCAAACCATGTTATGGACACCAGCAAAGCTGAAAGCTTGGCAAACTCCTTGTTGGACAAGTACTATGCACTATAGGCAGCAACCCTGAAGACATGTGTCTTGGACATGACAGTGGTGGAGTTCCCTCACCTGTTTGGTGACCGAGTCAATGAGCCGTGCATACAGGTCCTGCTCTGTTCGCACACCTAGGGACACAAAAAAGCCCACAGGACAGTGGATTAGAGTGCCGTCAATTATAACACCCAACAGCAGCCAGCTCTGGCCCTCACAGTCTATGACAGCCCTGCTGTTCTCATACTACTTTACCAAATGGAACCAATTGACCCATTGGTCAAAATCCTTATTGTTCTCATTAAGGCCTTTGCGTGCCTGAAAATACTGACCAGGCTGTTGGTTTGCAGACTCTGGGTTGGCTTTGGCAACTTTAAAGTCTATCTGGGTTCACTTGCTGGCCTCTGCCCCCTCGCTACAAGTGGGTACTACCTGTGTCGACTGTCGGAACATGTGAAGCAAGGCGTGTGCAGATGTGCTTGCTACACGCCAGCATCTACCTGCACGGCTGGAGCAGTTCCCGAGATGAAAATGACACAGTGTTTTTAAAGGATCGCACTTGAACGAATCCCCATCAGGGAATGATACAATGCCCGATCACCAGTATTCAAAGTGTTTTTTAGAGTACCTAAGACATCGTACTGCTGCTGCTCAATAACATTTAAAGCGCTAGGAGCATTAGAGTGTCAATACAAAGCACTTTGGTTTCACTTTGAGCTTTGGAGGCTTGAATGTGAGGGGGGAAGGGCTGTCTTCTCAGTTTGCTTTCATCTCACTCCCAGAGGTAGTTAAAAACAAGTCTTCAGAGACTCCAGGGAACAGAAGACTACTTGCATCCAGTCATATGTTTTGTAACTACAGACTTAGCATTATTCAATTCATTAGGCTACACAGAATATCACTTTTCATCTGAGGATTTTTTTTTTTATTTGAAATTGTGCCTTTTCAGACTGAAAACCATCTCAAGGCTTTTACAAAGCCGTGCTGCAAGAGGGCCGACAGTAGAAGAGTTACTTTATATTGGTTAATCATGTTTTCAACAATGGATTGCTTGAGGCTAACAAACAGTGGGCTGCTCAGATTAGTTCTCAGATTCAAGTACGTGTGTAAAAAACAATACTTCCTTCGTAAAGCAAAATAAATTCAAAATTCACAAGACCATTATTCTTCAAGCCTCACTTCCATGTGCAACAGTATGAAATTAAGCGTATTTTCTCATATGCTCACATTGGAAAGGATGGCCCTCTGTGGCCTACAAAAAAGCTCTTATCCAATTAGTTTATTGAGCCCATAGGAAAACTGCGGTGGCTTTCAAGTTCTGTGCATGTGCAATGATTTATCTTAAATATAGCGTGTGAATAAGGGCAGAGCGCACTCACAGCATTTTTTGTTTATTTGTTTGTTTGTTTTTGCAGAAGCATTAGAAAATTATTACATTCCATAGTCATGGCAGTACTGAAATGTTTTCCGATATCAAATCAAGAATAAAAAGCAATGAAGCAGAAGTCAAAGTAAGAGTCTAACATATGTGGTTTGCATACAGTTGAGCAGACGCACAACTGGAACAGGCAAGCAGCAGACAGACAAACAGACAGGGGTCAGCAGTCTCACCATTGCTGTACAGGAGCTGGAGTTTGTAGTGTGTTCCATTGTTCGTTTTCTCTCCACTGTGTTCCTTTAAACAGAATCAGAGATAGTGTTACTTTCCACATCTAAATCGTGCATCTCCACACGCACAATCTTTATACGGTGTCCTTCAAATCAAAAATAACCCGAGGCCCTCCCTCTCTGCCTCCTGCAACCTCGCTAATTTTTTTAATGCATTATAAAGCATAGGCACTAAAATATCTCCAGCCTGAGCACACCACAAGTGTGCAGGAGCGCTGCCCGAGGTGGTGGTCTCCAGAAACCAGCAGGGTGCATTCAGGAAAGCTTGCTTGCACAAGGACAGCACTAAGGATCCGAGTTGCAATGCTATTCCTTCTGTGTTTTTCAAAAGCTAGAGCACAACATCAAGGTAGCTTTGCTCACTTCAATTAAGTGTGAATTCTGGTGCCTATGAATGGGTGTGTGACCCGTCTTTTGTTGTTCAGCACTTGAAGGGTTCTTCAGCATAAAAAAAAAACCTTAGCACTGATAGAGTGCAAGTAGCAGTTGACCTTGACCGTAAAAATATTTACCCCGTTCCTCTCCCCTTCCCCTTCGACTCCCACCAGCCCCCGCACAAACCCCCCACCCCCTTCCTTCAGCAACTCCATCAATCTCGCTCGCTGTTACTGGCCTCCAAGGAGCTTTCGAACCAGAGAGCCCAAATAGCTTCATCCAGAGAGGGCCGGGGAGCTCGCCGCAAGCCTGGGCTTGGATTTCCTCAGGGGCCAGAGATGCAATATAAATTCATACCGAAGGGCTGCCCCTAAACAGATGCCAGGCAACCGAGCAGAAAATGAACACTTTGCAATCCTGCGTGCTGTGGCTGGCTGTGAGGGAGCTGGAGGTGGCCTGTTGTTGTGTGAGCGCCCTGCACTGGAGTCCTGGCAGTGGAACAGTCCTGTAACGTTCGGTCTGGCAGAGCAAGTCTCTCTGGGTGACCCTGCAGCATGATCAAGCTCATTCGTGTCCCCTGCTGGAAAGGTCCACGTGCCCTAGACCTCTCTCAGAGAATGTTCACACACTGGATTGTTGAATTTTATATCCTTTTCCTTTGCCTTACGCTACTTTAAAGCCCCTCAGCTTTACTGTTATAAGATATAATAAGAATAACATCACTTCTTGTATAAGGAATTTGTCTTTTTGCATATCCCAACTTGCTCTCCATGAGACACACAGACAGGGAGAGAAGCTTGGAGTCAGAGTGCAGGGTCAGCCATTTATACGGCGTCCCTGGAGCAGTTGGGGTTAAGGGCCTTGCTCAGGGGTCCAACGGAGTTGGATTCCTCTGCCGGCCATGGGATACAAACAGGTAACCTTCCAGCCACAGGCACAGATCCTTACTTAGCCACAGTGCCACCGCAACGCCCCAATTCCTGCCTCCCTTCTCCTCTTATTACTGCCTCACTCCCTCTAATCTGACACTCGCTCATCTCTAACCTCAAGCCCAGACTTCCTCCCTGCCGGTCGTGTCCCCTTAGCCACTGTCCCACACAGCCTTCTAGTGCCTCTGCCACTGAGGCACCAGCCCCCCGCCCCAGACCGGCGCCAACGAGCAGCGAGGACAGAGACAGAAGACCTTGTCGTGCTCCACGAAGTCCACGAACGCCGTCCTCTCCACCTCCACGGGCTGCCCCTGCCGGTCGTACAGCGCCAGGACAAAGTGGAAGAAGTTGGACTTGCGCAGGTTGGAGGGCGGCTGCTTCTCGAAGTGCGCCCGGGACAGAGCCACCCCGCTGCAGAGGAGAACACAGAGAGATGGAACAAAAGGGCACGGACACCCAGACCCTCACACTGGCTGCGTGATCTGCCCTGCGCGGCAGCCCTCTTCCCGCAATCAATAGTTCTCAATTCATTAAGAAGCGACGTTCTGCTCCACGGCCCTCATATTGTTTGAAGTGCTTTTACTTTCTTTTGCAATCTCGGGCGCAGAGTTAATGCAACCCACTCCAAAGCCGAAACAAAGCGATCCTACAGCGGTGTTGCAAGCCAGCGGCTCGCACTACATAAATGTCACAGATTTTTATCTCCGATCTTATGACCTCCTCCGGAAGCAAATTTCCAGCTATTCCAGCAGGAAGCTAAATTTCCCCCCATTTGACAGGATACAGGGGTGGTCTTGTTTGCTCTTCCACTTCAAACTGCAACACGGAATTCCTGATTGAAAAAGGTCTGGGCCCCTGAGCTCTCCACACCTGTCGGATTTACTTGCCCCTGCAAGCAATATTGGGCCATTTTGGGCGTCGATTTGTAACCCTGGAATACATTTTAAGTAAAAGCAAAAGGCTTAAGAGAATCTGACCTCCCCTGTATGTTCTGAAGGGCACCCACACAGATTTAAAAAGGCCGAATACTGCTGCAAATGACCATGAAGGCAGCTTGCTTGCAGTGTGTGTGCCATTAATGACCAACTGTTGCAGGAGAGAAGCACCACTGGAAAGCCCAGGGAAGACTGATGCACACTTTAGGTAAACATTAGCTGCAGCTGCATACCAAAGCCTTGCGATTTAAAATTAAAATCCTGATTTTCCTTAGAAAGTAAACATTTATGCCGGATTAGTATCTGTTGTTTTTTAGGCAGCCCTGATTACTCATGGAGATTATGCCTCCAGCCCTGGTAATGGGCTTAGCGAAGGGGTTTGCAGCTAATGATCTTATGCAAAAACTACTACTGTATTTAATTTAATAAGTCAGGTATTGATATGTACTTGCAATGAATGCTACATGCAAATCTGGATCATACTGCATCTATTTTGCTTTACCTTATTAGGCATGAAATCAGATGAGCTTTTTCAGAATGGCCTTTGCACCTCAATGATAGTTTTTAATTACTGCTGCTGTATGTTCCATGGAATTTACACCTTGACTCCTGCAGTACCCCTTATAGGAGCAGATATCAATTCATATATTATTGTTTAAAGGTTTTCTCTTGGAAAATAGTGACATTTTGACAGAGCAGGTCCAGAATCAGACCTTTTGTTTGATTTATTAATGAGCTCACCGTAAAATACGCGGCCGTTGTTCAGCTAGCTGAGTTTTAGATTTCAGTTATGTGCTTTTTAGTTGTATGTTTTTACGTATGTTTGTGTACAGATACAGTATAATACTGTATATGCAATCTCACTACGCTTTTATACAGACGCCGCTTCTGAATACGTATACTGTAAAACTGCTTTCCAGCTTTCCAATTCAGATGCTGTGTTAGAGTCACTTAAAAGCACATAAATATAATTAATTTAAGTAACTAACTGCTCGAGTCGAACTGTAATAAGATGTTAAATTAACTTATAAAGAACAGCCTTATGGGGGGACTCCTAAACACGAAACCCGAAAGTACAATAATTATTTCCAAAACAAGCCCTTGAAGAGCAATGGGAAATACAGTCTACAACAAATATAGTCTTTAGAACAGTCTATAGAAATAATTAAAAGATATAAATCGGACACGGCTGGCTCAAAATAATAAAGTAACGACATCTAAAACAGAACTCAAACGTGAAAGGTGATGCTGTTAAACAGAAAATAGCTTTCCCAAGTGAACGCGTACAGTAAGGTGGACTGGCCCCTTGAAAATAAAATCATTCGGACTATTTTGTTTCGTGATGGAGTTAGTATCGATTTTGAAATAAATGTACTACATGTCCATGTCCTTCAGAGATATACTGTATAATCCGATGTCATTCTGAGGTAGGTGCACACGCGCATATACATTGAGACTGGGCTACCGACTGCGGTCCTCACTTCGCTCAGTACAGTATAATAGCAGACAACACTTTTGAGCGGTGAGTTTATGCCCGTATATCCGTGACTTTGGAAAGTAAAAGTTAACGACCTCTCAAAGACAGATAAACGCTACGAAAAAGTCGTATATTTTATATCTTATATATATTTAAGTCCGGTGCGCCGCATTTTCTTCATTTGTAAACTAGGCAGTAACCTGTCCTATAGATCTCAACAGGATTTTGTAAAAAAAAAAAAGCACATAATGTATATATTCTTGTCTTTCAAAATAAAAGAGTTCAGTTTGATAGCTTAAAACCTAAAAAGATTCGTAGTGAATTGAAATATGTCGTAGGAAACGTGGCTTCCTTGAGAACCAAAAGTAATATATGAAGTTGTTTACTGTTAACATTGATATTATTATTAATTTGTTTGGCTTATTCATATTGACGTGTATATCTCTCCATTAATACATTAGGGTTTTTTAGAGGAAAAAGTCTAATAGAAGTACTTTGTCAAGAGTACAACTGCACTTCCTCTTTCATCACTCTAGAGCTCCAACAACTTCTCCACAGATCTGCGCAAAAAAATATAATCCGTTATTTATCCAGCTAAGACACCCGAGATCAAATTCACGTTTACAATACACGGGGTTTGACGAGTTGGTGAGCCTTCACGGACTATTAGAAAGAGTCAAATACATTTGAATTGGTTTCAATTAATAGCATTGGATTTAGACATCCATAATTTAACTTAATCTAAACCAGCGGGGTGATTGTTTTACGCTGTAACGGTAAACTCGTTATCCAGCCATAAAATCAGATACCAGCCCTAAGTGCCACGTGTAGATATATCGAAGTTAAATCATTAAAAGGCTGTCCATCTTAGACGTCTTTCTGACAAAAGAGACAAGTATACACACATTCGTGAAGAATATTCCGGCTGACAAACACGGACCGCGTGACGCGTGAGCACGCACATCTTGGTACAGCCTGGGGTCCGGATGAAGTCATCTCTCAAAACGATCCCTCAGACTAGACCCCAAGCCTGTGCGGTCGGTGCGACAACTGTCAGACTTGACGTCTCAACGTACCGTGGCGTTTCCTAATCGGTTTTTTGGTTTAAGATAATTATAAAGACAAAATTACAGAACACTAGGTGTTGTGGACGGCGATTTGTACAGGTAAAAATCTCTATGCTCTATTTGTAACACCTTTAAAACATTAAGTGAAAACGCTTCTTACAGCAGATAATATTTGGGGGAAAATACCTGACAGTGATTTTTTATCTCTCGTTTCCCCTTTTCATTTTAAATTCGCTTACAGAAACTTTAAACCTTCACCTTGGATACTTCAAAAATCCTCAGCACCACGCCATGAAGTTTTTAGAACTTAAATGACTTTTCTTATCTCGATCCGAGGTCGTTAAGATGCAGATAAATGAAGAAGAAAAAAACAATGACAAAATGACCTATTTTTCGTAGAATTTAAACGAATGCAAGGCAGACTAAACAAGACCAGTGTCCACACCAGTTTCTTGTCAGAATTGGCCGGTGCGTATAGCTGGGATTTAGAGGTTCAGGCGTATGGACCAGACTGTGACAAGGTTTATAGTTTGCTTACCAAGATGCAAGTATTCGACAGTAGATGTTTTTTTTTTATGACAGGTTTGTCACTCTGCGACTACTTTGTTTACGTGTTCCGTTTGAGAAAACGTTTATAAATTGTTTATAAATTGCAACTCCCCCACCATCTAAACATTACCAACACATCAGCACCAACAAAATTATCCTTCCAGACGTTTCGCTGCAATTTTTCATAATGTTATTTACTTCAGCTTGTGTGCTGCAGTCTGTGAGATACCCTCGTGATTTTTAATCCCTAAAGCCCGTATTTGGCCTGTTTCAAAGCCTTGAGTAGTGTCCCAAAGTTACAGTGGTACATAGTGCTACAGAAAAATGTTGTCTAACATTTTGAGAATGAAGAGTAAACTTTTTTTTAAGAAACAATATTTGCGATTTGGATTATTTGAACTGACCGGTGAATCACACTGAACAAGATTTCCGTCCATAAAATCACCTCTGTGTGGGCTATTATCGTGCTTCGATTTAAACGACTTAACTACTTTATTTAAACGTCTTTTATTTCGGTTTGAACTGTTTTCGATTTTTGGAAGAGAAAGAACGATATTGGTATAAAACAAATAGAAACCCAAACCGATAAATAACATTGTGCCTTTTTAAAAATATTCCCTTGAATCCACTCCGCTGTGCAAACACGACATTTTATTTTGTTATAAAAATATCATCCCCGCGAAACCCAAGGTTCGAACACATTCATAGTTTACGCCTTAAAAATAAAAATAAAACGTCAAGTTTTAAATCGCATTCGAAATTCGTTGGTTTCTTCTGAAATGTATATGAGCATTATTTCATTCTGAATTGTTTCTCTGTATGAGACGCATCATATCGAGCGGTGTATTATTACAATTTGACACAAATACATGCTGTGAGTAAATAACACGTCTGCTTATTAAAACAACTGTCAACACTTCAAAACGCAGCTCTGAAAGGGCTTCGAACGAAAGAAGGGTTTTAAACACTAGAAAACTAAACACTAGAACCACTTGCTAGTTCTCCTTTTGCATTGTTAGGTTTATCTTTTCGATTTTTATGGTAATTAAAATGCTGCGTTGATCACACCGCTCTATGCAATACGAGACGGATACTTAATCGATTGTATTTGCTCATTTTGGTTCGTTCTGAAATGCTTTTCTACCAATTCTGCTCAGACCACACCGAACTTCGAACTCGCCTCCTCTGCCCCCCTGATAATTACTCTGGGTAAGGTTGGCACAGGTCTGTGACTGTCACACTTTCGGGAAGACAGTCTTTAGTAAGACATTTGTCATGACGAACACGCACAGAATAAAGATTCAGTCTAACTACGGTTAAGTATAATTTAAATATCACCCTTTATTTCTGAACGAGAGCCTGTACGTAACGTGAACGGTTCATATTTTTTTTTCTTCGAAGAGGAATGTGTAACTTCCCCTGCCTCTACTTTTGATCTGTTTATTTTTAAAGTTGTGTTTTAAAGCAATTGCGCGTTAATATTGTTCTGTTTTACGTTTTAAGGCAATGCATATTTTTATTTATAAATGTTAGTGTGTATGCCACCAGGAAACGTGAAGGGCGCGATTTAATAAGACAGTGAAACAAAATCAACTTCGGAAAATTAGAAAAATCGGTAAGTAAACCGTCGGAACGCGCAAGAATCAACATTTCTTGTAGGAAATACTTCACATCAAAACGTTCAGTGCGCTGTTTCATACCTAACTGTGGGACAGACGCTTAAGCTAATAAAAATATCGGTTTAATATGAATGTGTTGAAATACGACGTGCTTTGACTGTTATTGCCTTTTCTAGTCATTTACAGTGTCACCCTAACACTTTCTAAGATTTATATTTGAATGGCAAATCAGAGTCCCACTCCATATAATAGTCAAATCTAGAAAAGCACAGGGATTTGGGGACAGGTCTAAAATTCAGATCAAACGTGTTACGAATATTAAGGTGCTTTTCCCCTTTTTAGAAAAATAAAAGTTGCATTTAGGACAAAAGCAATATCAATAATAGCTGCTACATTAACGACTATACACCAGTTCGAAATAGGATGAAATTTTCCATTTCTAATGCAGGCTTTGCAGTTTGTGGCTTGCATTTGATGAATCTCGATTTTTTGTTTTTCAAATTAGCCTGTGTTGTCAAAGGCACGTTTAGTGCGATTTAAATAGCTTTAGCTGCTACTGAGTAGGCTTTTGCAGTACACCGACTTTTCGGGTCTACCATAACCTCGACTTAAACTGCGTACTTTAACTACAAAAAAAAAACCCGACAACAAATTCAAACCCCTTAAAGAATATATCGCACTGTTTCGATCCCCAGCAGTCTGCGTGAGGTGACAGCGTTATTTCGTCTCTGAAGCGATACAGACACCTACCCCCGTCGACGGGACGCGCCGCGTGCTTGTCATCAGTACAAAGGGCTGCTGTTTTTATTTATTTTCCGGGTGTGAACTTCAGAGCTGGAGTGCGATGGGACCTGTTGACTGCGGAGCTGGCAGTGTTACCCAGCGCAGCAGTCGGCACATATTGCTTGACACGTGAGCGTGGGGTTGAGGTCCCGCGTGTCATCTCTGAGCGATGCGCTTTTAAACACTTAGGGGATTACTATTGCTACTGTCGTTATCGCAGCATACTACACCGACATCCATGAATCCATTCACTAATCCACTTTCTAGCCGCCGGAGCCTATCCCGGCTGGAAGCGGGCACAAGGCAGAATGCGCGGAACTGGACGCCAGTCCTTTGCAGCGCAGATACACACACACCTATCAATAGGGGCAATTTTCCCAGCAGCCAACTTACATACCAGTATATCTTCGGACTGTGGGAGGAATCCGGTGGACCCAACTCCACGCAGACAGCACCCCAGGAATTGAACCCGGGACCCCAGCACCGCGAGGGGGCAATGCTAACTGCACATAGATCTTACTAGCTATATCGCGTTTACCAATGCGTTTGGATTATGTTGACATACATATACACGTCTTGGCGATCAGAGAACGTTAAACATACCAGATAAAACCCATACAAAATCTCACGTCCCCACTGCGATGTGCTACAAAGAATATGCGCCACAACTGTTACGCTCCTTCTAACGGAAACTAAAGCAAAAGCAAACCAATGAGATTAAAACAAATGGTCCTTCCATAACTTCTCTCCTGTGACTTTTCTTCCAGGACTGCCCGAGCCCGTTTTATCTGAATATCTTCATATTTCGCGCTGAAAAAGATGAATCAGCGGCGTATTTTTAGTTGCACTGTGGGTGAAGGCAAATACGTCGTTGACAGCTATTTCTAACCACCTACGTTACAAACCAAAGGCTACGCGCTCGCATGGAAAAAAAAAAAAACAAGAGTGAATCAAAACCAGGAATGCAGTGGCGTTTTGAGAAAGTGAATAAAAACAAAAATGAATGTTCACGAACCAGGAACACAGTGTACGTTACCTTTGTGCGGCGACGTTAGCGTCCACGACCCCAACGTTACGGACCCAAGACCGGACCGAATCCATCTCACCCCCGTGCTCTTTCTCTTTAATGCCGGATACTCCTCTGCTTAAGTGATCTTGAATCCCGAACATTTAAAAATGACTGGGACCGGGATTTGAACCAAAAAGTAAACGGGACACAGTTTTGATCTATTTCAAGTGGATCCAAACGGCCGCCGTCGCGTTTAATCGAAGAAACGAGGAGCAAAAAAAAAAAGGCACACAAGTTCTGGAGTTGTCAAAAATCTATAATTGTCTATCTTCTGAAGTTTCCTTGAAGTGAAAGGGTATGCAACAGATTTATTCCCCTTTTGGGTGCTATCATTGTTCAAACGAAAAGCAGGAATGCGTCCAGCATCGCTTCACTGTTAACGAGGATCACCTGTTCTGTCGTGGACATATATACACGCATGCAAAAGAACACACACGCGCGCTCGCTCGCACGCACACGCACACACACACACACAACACACACTCGAGCGAGAGGACATAAAGGAGACTTATGCGCTTTCTAATCCCGGATCAAACAGACTGATAGAAGGAACCCGTTGTGTGAGCGCATGGAGCAAGCCCGCACGCTGATGCCCCAGGAGTTTCAGTCATGAATGAGTTACATCCCCTGGATAAGGGCTTGGGGGGGTGGTCGTTGACCAAATGCGGGGGTGCTCATTTGCATATGGATTCCGATTGGAGGACAGCTGATGTCGGCGGAATTATGCCACCTCTGTGTCCCTAGCGAGGAAGCAATTCCTGCTCAAATTCTGCCAAGTCCCAACTTCTCCTGGGGTGCCAGAGCGCCCTGCTACAACAGGGCAGCCCAAGTTTTTCGGGATGAAAAAAGTAAAAACCCCACAGCGACTAGATAATCACAGCATACCGCAGATTTGAAGCGTGGAGATTTGATCATGCGCCCATATCCATTTTTTTCTTTTAAGTATGGGTCACGTTAATTAACTGTATGTAGGGAGACACAGGGCTACAATCAGTGTAAACGCATCTTGTTTCCCCGGACGTGTGTTTTGATGTTGTTTAGTTTAGGAGAGGATAATTGATTAAGTCAAAATCGTTGTTTCAAAACGGGAAACAACACATTTTTTGAACTCCTAAAAAACCTATGAATGGAAACAGAGGGCCATCAAAGTCGAGATTTTAAAATCCGTGTTGAGGTAGTGGACTAACTTATAATGTCGTAATAATGCTAATATATATATATAAATGCTGAATTAATATTTCAAAATGTTACCATTTAACGGATTCTCATAGGTATTGGTATAGATTGTGCGACCCCACATAGGGTCAGAAGTTATAAATAATACACTGTACAATGGCGGTATTGTTAACGTCATTAAAGATATGTGGAAGTATTATCGGGAACTAGACTATAAATTGTAAACAAATAGATCCCTATGCTGGGTTTAACTGCACAAAGAAACGTTTTAAGAGCACAGTGGAATATTCAATAACAATCGTATTCGGGGAAACAAACGATTTTTAATGGGGGAAAAAACAAGGTATTAAAGGCAAACTAAAAATCTCCGAGAAATGTGCCCGTTTCAAAAATCTTTCAAAACTAAAATGAAATGATTTTTTAAAGCACCTTTCGATGTCTGAAATGAGTCTTCTGAAAATCCCAGCGATATACAAATTGTTCAGATTGCAACAAAGCAATTTATTGTTAAAATTCACAAACATCCAATCTTTTTAACACGCATCTGTTTTCGAAGCAGGTCATTATTGGGTACGAAAAGCGATGTTCATTTTAATCATGAAATCGTGTCGTTGCCATTTTTAACACAAGTTTGCGTTATATTTAATGCACTTTCTCCGGCGTACAGAGCAAGAATTAGTGTCTAGAATCCATGTCGCTCGAAAACAGACTTGAGTTCCATCTGCTCCCTGGTATCACCATGAAACAAATTTAGCTAATGGAATCCAATTAAGCCACGTTCGGATTATCGCTGTTTCATTGCCGTTTTTAATTATTACCCATCCCTTTATCGGAGCGATCCGGTGTTACAACACAATAAAAAACGAGTGTCCTTCATGTCGTCACCGTTTACAATTGATCACACACAGTTTGATTCTGTAATAACTGTTAAACATCACTGGGCCCAGCCCTCCGTCGGACCTTTTCTATTTATTAATTATATCCGCTCTTCACCCGTGCTGTATGCTTTCCAAGGAACAAGTCAATTTTAACGGGACGATAAGGGGGAGGCTGTAGGTGGGTGACATTTACATGTAGAGCATAATGATGCCGAGGATGAAGCCAACTGTAAAATGCTAATTAATGAACCGCTTCAGAGAAAAAAAAAATACAGAGGACACAGGCAAATGACAGACAACGCAATTATTTAACCTACGGGCCGGAAGAATCCCACATTCGTCTTACTGAGTGCCCGTGAAGTCGCAGGCAGTTGCCCGTTTATAGCAGGCGCTGAGCGAGACGGGTAACAAGCCCAGGTCCCCCGATGAACGACGAAGGTTCCTTAAAATCTGTCTCAAAAGATGCCGGAGTATCAGTGTCAGGAGTCTGAGCAATGATTACCCGTCACCCGATCGCTGCTCGCTGATAAACAAGTCAAGATGTTCTTGCAAGCGGACTCGTGCAGGCAAATCGCTGCTGGGTTCCCGTGTAAAGTGCAATTGCTATTCTAGGCAAGTTGAGTACAATAAAAATAGAACACAGTATAACTCGAACACCCATACCGCGAGCAAGCTGCATATACCTACACTGTATACGGAAACACGAGGTGTTTCTTACTGACACTGACCCAATTGAACATTGACGAGGAATGGTGTTGTGCAACACAAATTGAGTTCAATGAGAACAACACATTTTTGTGTCAACATCACATAAACAATAAGACAACAACCTGCCTTTTCCAACTCACTTTTCGTAACTGAGATGTGTTGTGCGCCACTGCGTTTCGTTATTATTTTTAATGTTATTAAATGAATTAATATTAACACGTTAGGTGTGATGTGTCCGTTTAATCACAAAATTCCTCAAAGCGTTTACGTGTTACAGACTTGGCCCACTCTGAAAAACTTCATTTTATTCTGAGACGTGAAACGAAGGAGAAACAAAGCAATCAAAAAATTAATACCGTTTAATATCAAATTAAAATACCAGCAATGTGCCGTCATAATCCATTTATATCAGCTGAGAACAACTTTTCCAAACGGCATCGCTGTCATTTTTAAACAGTTTTAAACGAGTAGTTGGTTCCTGATCAACAGCGTATGCCAGTCCTACTACAATCTCGGAACAAGTCACAATGATTAAAAATCAACTCTTTCAAGAACGGCCTCTTCAGATTTGTTGGGTGGGTGGATCAGACTGTGCAGGCTTGCCTGTATGGAAATTATTATAGCTGATATGACAATTTTAAAACTTAATTATACCGACAAAGGGCAGCTGTTAGTGGGCTTTTCACCGTACACACGCGCATACAAAAAGGCTCTTGTATGTATCGCCTAACTCCGTTTTTTTCCCTGAATTTCCGTTTCGGGGTTTTTGAAAAGGAAAGTTTCTTGCTCCTGCCGGGGTATTGTCTCCAGACAGATCCAGGCTAACAATGAATGCAAATCTCCCCTCACAGACCATCTGCCAGCCCACGAGGTCAGCTGCTCCCCCAATTAAAGGGACAGTCTCGCGGAATCCACGCCACTCAGCTCCCCCTGCCTGAGTGACATGTCCACTTAACCTCGAAACCGTTAAATAGCTACAGATGTTTGGAGACGGGCTTTCCCAATCCATTGCCACCCCCCTCCAACCCACGCCCGCAGTCAATCTCCTCATCACCCAGTTTCTGAAATCGATCCGGTACCGTTGTTAAGTGCAATTGTTGGGATGCGAGGTACTTATTTTACAGCGTTTTTTTTTTTAGATGCTGTGAATTGAGAGAAAGTGACGCTCCTCTAATATTGTCTTTCTCCTTTTCACAAGGAAGACAAGAGTACATTACAAGCTGTGCGCGTAACCCTTTCACATAGCTCTGAAGTAATTCTGACCAGCACAGGGAAGAATGGTGTATAGTGATAGAGCCAGTTCTGGCATTACGAATGGACAGAGGTCAAAAGCTGCAGAAGGCAAGTAACTAGACAAGGCAGGTTATCTGTTTTTTTTAATTCCACTCTGTTCTAATGTATTCCATTGAGCTCATATTGTGATACTGGAATGTTCTTACGTGCTCAATAATTCCTTTTGTCTTCGAAAACCTGTGGCAGTTTTAACTAAGCACTTGGAGCGATGGAGGTGGTCTCATATCAGATTTGCTCCACAAAACTTTCCACATGGTCCATAAATATCCCTCTCTTCATAACTCTTTCAGTCCATCCTGCACTGTGCTATTTTGTGAAAACAATAGTTTAAACAGGAATGTTTTAGTATGACCTGCCCTCCTACAACTGGCCTAATTGAGGTTAATTAAGTTCTTATCAGCTGTGCTATTCTGTAAAAAGAAGAGCTTTAGATGAGACATTTACACCCATTTTACATTTATTACTTTTTTAGGCATGGCCCTACTGAAATCAGGATGTTTGCCTGAAAAATATAATTGCATGAATTAAAATCCATCAAGGCGATAAAGGGGAGTTTTCTGAGAATCACCTTTAGCGGACATAATGATATATCAGGGCAGGTTCTGAATGCCCTGTCAGCAATTGATCCCTTCTGAACTCAGGTCGACCTTAGCCATTTAAAAAATACAAGAAGAGTAACATGAACACGCACTGTGTTTTTATTAGAACTTGGGTATTTAGCAAGAAAAATCTAACTTTGACTGGAGTGTCAGGGTATGACATCACCTCAGAGTCCGAGAGCTAGATTAAACACAGGGCGAGCACATTTGGTCCACTATGTCGTTATACTTGCTTAACGGTCCTAGAGCATCTTCCCTGCTGTGATTTGACAAATGCCAAGGAATCAGTTTCACCACTGCTCACCTCTCAACCTTGCCCATTAGGAGGAAGTTTGCCCCAAGCTGATCAGACCCTCTCCCAGCATTGGAACCATTATACCAAAGACATAGCCAACATACTGCTAACAGCACACTAATTCTCCATGTGGCTTTTCCTAGTCTGGGTAAGGGAGTCAATGCCAGTCGACGATCTTTCTCATTTCAGACAGGTAACTCTGCAGAGGCACAAAATAAAATATACGATTTCTATATTTGCTTTTGCTTTTATTATATTTGTGTTTGCGTGGGTTTCCTCCCGCAGTCAAGGGACATACTGGTACGTTAATTGGCATCAGGGAAAATTGGCCCTGGTGTCAGTGTGAGTGTCTGTGCCCTGAGGTGGACTGGTGTCCCATCCGGGGTGTATCCTGCCTTGTGCCTGTTGCTGACAATCGGGTGGATAGATATTCAATAGCTGGGATGAGTCAGTGTTGGTAGAACTGGATCCCTGAGACACGTTTAACAAGTCCAATTGAATACAAGCCAAATACTCAGGCTGGAATCTGGATATGCAGACCAACCACTGAACTACACAGCCTAAAAAATTAAATAATAAGAGAACCTGTGCACTTCCATTAAAATCAAACAACTAACCAGTTTTTGGCTATCATTTCCTTT